ATCCAGGTTTGTTATTTTCTCACATCACATTAGGCTGGCATGAATAATGGTTGCTACCTACCATACCTTTAATTTAAGGGACCATTTTATTACCGTTTTCTGATATCCTCTATGTTATCCTCAGACACAATGACAGGGACCATGGCAGATTCAAAAGAGTGTTCTTCTGCGATATGACCGGTAAGACTACAGGCTACCGTAGCGAGATGGTTAACAATCTTTGTTCGAGGAGTCGTCTCAGGGCGATTCTGAAACTGCAATCTCTGCAAATACAGGTCGCCTGAGTCCACTGTTTTCGAGAATTTAAACGTCACAAAAGGCATACATAGATTCAGTGACAACAAGCCTCCTATGTAACAACGGCAGCGGCGTCGTACGTGCGCATTGTTTGCATTCGGTCTGCCTCAAGGATTCGGTCTTGCACCAGCCGAGTGAAGATCTCTGTGTTGCCACGGAATCTGGAAATGATTGCGTGGATAACCGGGAGCAAGAGCGAAATGGCAAAGCAAGCAACAATGGTAACAGCAACTTGGGAATCGTGTGATATACCGTCTGAACCTCTAATGGACGCAATGCAAGGGCCCGAAAGCCACATGACTACCAGTGCAATGATGATGCGGTAAGAGTTGAAAGTAAAATAAAGCAGGAGAACAAGCCATTAGCGCATGCTCAAGATGGACAGCAATGCATATACCATGTGCGGAAACATCGCTGTATTTCAAATCTGACCATCCATGCCACGAGATATCGGTCCGCCGTGTCTCCTTCTACGCGGCATCAATCCCTTATCTTAAAGAGGAAAATAGACTTCAAGAAAAACCCATTTTCCTCCCTGAAAATGGAAAGGGCAGGAATGAGAGCAAGAGAGAGCAAGAGAGAAAAAAAAAAGGAAGAACAAATATATCACTGCAAAGCATTCGATATCTCAATTTCCACCTTTCCATTGCAGCCTTGCAGTGTAACACTTCGCAGATCCTGAACAATCCAATCTGCCCCAGCCTCCTTGAGATCGTCAATCTTATGCGTCGAAGCAAGGGCAACGACCTTGAAGCCTGCGGCCTTGCCAGCCCGGATACCTGAAGGTGCGTCCTCAACCACCAGCATCTCAGCCCCGTCATCCAGGCCAAGTCGTGAGCGGCCCATCAGGTAACATTGTGGATCTGGCTTTCCAACCTCTACATCTTCGGCGACAACCATGTACTTGGGATACGCAAGTTTCAACACTTCCAGCCAGCCGTGTACAAGTGCCTTGGTCCCTGAGGTAACCACAGCCCAGGGGGCTCCTGCTTTATCTAAGGAGTCTAGCAGCTGTCGTGCTCCAGGTATTTCCACAGCATCCTGGCCATACTCCTTGGGGATCCGGCCTTCAACATAACTAACGTCTGGAATTGATATTTTTAGTTAGATGAACAGAGAGAACGCGAGAGGTTATTTTATTTTATTTTATTTTTATTTACTAATTTTTGTTGGAACACCCCACTTACATTCCCAGTTAGCTTTTTCCGGAGCAATGATCTGTAGGACATCTATACTTCTTCGTCCATGGGATGTCTTTAATATCACTTCAGGGTCTAAGTTCAGTTCGGCACCTAGTCTGAATTTTGCCAAATGTCAATCAGCATGCGGGAAACTCCTTAAGACGGATCCCATCATAAAAGGAGTTGCCTTCCGACCAATCACAGATATACACAATATCGACATTATATACACATGTACAAGATCGATCTGGCGATCCATTTGAGGTGTTAAAACTGAATATATACGAACCGGTGCCAGTGCTTGATAATCGCTACGTCACAGTCAGCACATCGAGTGAACCCAAAAGAAACCCAAAGCCTAATTTGAATAGGCGCAGAAAAGTGAAGAGCAAAGCTAACCAGGAGTCGAATCTATAATGGTCCCATCAAAGTCAAAAAGGAGACCGTCAAATGAAAAGGTTTGCGACGGCGCGGAGAATCCCATTGCGACAGCGGGGTGAGACAAGATGCTCGTATTCTTCTCTCCAAGCTCTGAAATATCGTAACAACCTCTGGAGGTATAATTTAAAAGACACAGAGAATTGCTCTATTAACAGAAATGAAACATCTCCTTATTAAGTCCCTTGCAATATAATTTTTTATCGCCCCTTTCTTCTTTGCACTGTTTGGCAAATCTGAATCCCCGCATTTTATAACCGCAGCCACGGATATACATTTCCCCGATCGAGCAAGTGCTGCGAAATCTTGGCGTCTTTTTGCTCACACAAAATCGGAAAAGAGAAGGCAGACAAGATATCCGTGCTCTCCCTTCTCGATATATATACGGCCTTTTTGTGACTAATCTTGGAAACAGAGGCTCTCAAGATGGTCAAGCTTGGTATGCCTAACTTGTCCCGAGTTTCTCATTTCGCTTTGGGTCGCAATCCGATAATACTGACTTGTAAATTTTTCTTGCAGGCAAGAAATCAAAGCGTACGCCGGTGAGGCTTCGACATAAAATTGAAAAGGCCAGTGCAGCGAAGCAGAGGAAGTTGAGAAAACTGGCCAAAAAGGTATGTTTATCTCAATCCCGCATACGGATAATGCTACCTGCGGTGAATAAAAATGTCACGTCTAGTCGTTGTCAACCAATTAATGAACTGTCTTCTCGTTTTAATTTAGAACCCTGAATGGCGATCAAAACTAAAGAAGGATCCGGGTATACCTAATTTGTTCCCCTATAAAGAAAAGATCCTCCACGAAATCGAAGAGAAAAAACGGTTGAAAGAAGAGGAAAATCGACGGATACGGGAGGAAGCTAGAAAAGCTCGCCAAAGCGTCGCGGAAAACTTACCGGATACGCAATTAGAGGACGAAGAAATTTTGGGCCAGGACGTGGACCAGGACGATGAGTTGGTAGATGGCGATATGGACCAGGATGGTGACGATTCGAATCCTATGGCTGCATTGCTTGCTTCGGCTCGCGCGAGAGCGGTGGAATTTGACGGCCATGACGATGGGACGGGTGACGAAATGGATGAGGATGACGGGGATCATGAAAGCGACGAGGATGACGATGGCGGTGTTCTTTTCGATGACTCAATGGATATAACCTCCGAGAAGCCAGCGCCGAAGGAGACTTCGAGACGGGCGTTTGACAAAGTATTTAAGCAAGTTGTTGCTACCGCGGACGTCATACTCTACGTTCTTGATGCTCGAGACCCGGAAGGAACAAGATCAAAGGACGTTGAAAGAGAGGTCACTGCCGCAGATGGCGGATCTAAGAGACTCATCTTCATTCTGAACAAGATCGATCTTGTTCCACCACCCGTTTTGAAAGGCTGGATGCTCTACCTTCGAAGATATTTCCCTACCCTACCATTGAGGGCATCGACGGGTGCTCCAAATGCCCACAGTTTCGATCACAAGCAATTGACCGTTAAAAGCACATCGGAAACTCTGCTCAAAGCTTTGAAGTTTTATGCCCACAGCAAGCAATTGAAACGGTCGATATCTGTCGGTATCATTGGGTATCCTAATGTGGGCAAATCATCGGTTGTAAACGCACTCACTGCGCGGCTGAACAAGGGCTCCTCATCGGCATGCCCAGTGGGTGCTGAAGCCGGAGTTACTACTGGCATTAGAGAGGTGAAGCTTGACAGCAAGCTCAAACTCATCGATTCTCCGGGAATAGTATTTCCAAACGCGGAGAAAGGAAGGACGAAATCGGCTAAGAAGATCAATGAGGAAGCTCGTCTCGTTCTCCTCAACGCCATCCCTCCCAAACAAATCTCAGACCCTATCCCCGCTGTCACTCTCCTTTTGAATCGACTTTCTTCCACGCCTGCCCTCCTCTCCAAAATGCTCGATGTCTACGGCATCCCTCCTCTTTTCCCCACCGATGGAGACAAGACCAATGATTTTCTAATCCAGGTTGCTCGAAAGCGGGGTCGGCTTGGTAAAGGCGGTGTTCCCAACATCAGCAGCGCGGCAATGACAGTGATTAACGACTGGCGGGATGGTCGTATCCAGGGATGGCTTGAAGCCCCCGTTATTCCAGGAGCTACTTCCTTGCCCACTGCAAGCGGCCCCGGCAACGTGGCCGCGGTGAGCGGTACAGATACCAAGCAGATTGTCAAAGAATGGGCGGAGGAGTTCAAACTGGAGGGTCTATGGGTTGACGACGCTCAGCAGGACGATGAGATGGTTATGGAATAACCTCTTTTCCTACTATATCATTTTTCTCTTCTTTTCTTTCTACCGTGTTTCCGGACGATTTTTTAAAGGCGCTTTAGATGGTTTTGATGTATAGGTCACTAATGTTATTTACGACTTCCTGCATTCATACGATTTGCATTTAATAGAGCTCTACAGCTCCATTTCTTCCTTCCACACCCGTTGTATGGATATATCGATTGCCTTCATGGTACACTACAATTCTAGTCGAACCTCAGGCGCATTCGAAGCCAAGACTACAAAGCACAGGCCAAAATCTTGAATTTATATATATTGAAATGATTATAAGTTGAAGAAGCTTTGAGAAGAATGATGTAAAATTAGAATATAAAGTTACTTTTTTCTTATCACTAAGAGTTCCAGTGACTTTTTTGCTCCAAGAATAGAATGGTTCTACCTCCAAAAGTTGAAACCCGCGCGTTCAGCCAGCAACCATTTTACTCTCCGAAATCAAAATAATATGTAGACATCCCCCACATCCCATTCACATTAGTCCTGCAACCTTCAGGGAGAGAACGGAAAAATACCCAACAAAAGTAACTATATCTTCAAATTAACCACTATATCTCTTACGTCGGCGAGATTGTATAGTGCGTCGCATATCCCCGCCCCTCCCGCATCGAGCCTCTCTTTGCACAACGTGTAGCGGAGACCATTTCTCACGCGCGAATTAAGAAAAAGCGGAAAAGGATACAACCACCCACATTTCTCCCTTGAAATAATCCAAGTCCACGATCCTCATCTATATCCCAACCCATATATATTATAGGAGAATATAATTTTACTCGCGTCTCGGCCCCTTCCCAAATGTCGCCGCGGAAATCCACATCCTCCGTCGCGGAGGCCAACAGCCATGAAGAAGAACAGCAAGCGGCGGCGGAGAGCTCAAAAACAGCCGGGAGCGGTACAGACCCTATCGAGACCGGCGTGAATGTTGAGGTGAGATTTCTATATCCTGTCAATTGCCTGCTTGTTTCCTTTCCTTCCTCTTTGGCCTCCTTTTCAGGCGGAGGTCCCGTCCATGTGTGGGACGGTTGCGCTGGAGCGGAAATGCAAATGCTGGGTCAATCCGACTTAATCTCCAAGAGATAGAACCATCACATCGTACTATTCGGAACGGGAAAGCTAATAGTGTCAAATTTTTTTCTATGGATCGCTGCATAGGATTACCTCCTCCCGCGATCTCTCACGCAACGATTGGCAAAGAGTGTTTTGCCTCCGAACACCTCGATACAGAAAGACGCGTTGTTAGCAATCTCCAAGGCCGCTACGGTATTCGTTTCATACCTCTCATCACAGTAGGCATTCTTCTGCTTCCTATTGCCCTTGATTCTAGCGAATATGCAATGAGCACACACATGCACAAAGGGGAGGAGGAGGAGGAGAAGAAGAAGAAGAAGAAGAAGAGGCTGGGGAGACCTATATCCCATTCCTACCTAAAACCTCTGTCCTAAAATACTTATCCCACGTCCTACAACTTCTTTCACTCCATTTTTCCTCTTTCTTCATCGCTTAACTAACACATTCCCCCTCTTCACGTCCAGCGCAAACGAAGAGACCGAAAAGAAAACCATAACCCCACAAGACGTCTTCGCCGCCCTCTCTCAAATAGAATTCGACGCCTTCCTCCCGCGCCTCGAGCGCGAACTAGCCGTGTACACTGAAGCAGCTGCAGAGAAGCGGAGGGGCAAGAAGGATCGCAAATCTGGCGCTGCCACTACGGCTGCGACGATGGGGATAGAAACAGGTGCCGGTGCAGTAGGAAATGTAGGCGCCGCTTCAGCTGCGGATGGAGCTGGAAGTGTTGAGGATGGGATTGAACCAGGTGCTAAGCGGCTAAAGCGCGGTGGAGAGGGTGCAACAGAGATGGCAATTAGGAGGTCGCGACCTGGGATTGGTAATGGGGGGGTGGCTGAAGTGGAGGGGGAGCCTGGTGAGGTTGGTGGTGGTGGTGATGGTGATGAGACGGAGGAAATGGAGGAGGATGTGTTGGATGAGGACGAAGAAGAAGACGAGGAGGAGGAAGAGGAGGAAGAAGGGGGAGATGGGGAAGAAGAAGACGAGGAAGAAGCTACTCAAAATAGTGATCGGGATGGAGATGAGATTGATATTGATGGGGATGCGAGTGATACGGCGAAGAGGAGGAATGCTGGAATGCATCCAGACCTAGATTCGGGGCTCGAAAGCGATAGCGATGGGCTATGATTTAGGTATATATCAGCTTAGGGTCATAGGTCAACATTTTGTCCCCTGTTCTCTCTGGTTCTTTGTTACTGTCTTGCTCTCTTTTTTCTCCTCCTGACTTTATGTTTTATAACTATTCTCATATTTTTATTTGCAGTTGTTGGCTTTCTAGGAAGTGTTGAGTGAGGTGTAAAGGTGTGTGGGCTATGGTAACCACGGCGTCTCTGGGATTTCAGATTTATTGTTTACTTATTAATATCATGGGACTAATATGCAACATAGTGTATTGTATTGAATGAACCATTTCAGAATATATCAGAGTATGTAGATAAGATAACTTGAAGAAGATGTTACCACTTACAATTGATGATTGGTGATTTGTTACATCACTTATATTAAACACCAGTAAAGTTCTCACAATGTGGTTGAGAATATTGCCCAATCCATTCACCAAAATATTCAAGTATGGAAGTAGATGATAGATATCATACGTATTGATGAGCTTTAAATAGAGTGTGAATGCCCGCCCCCCAATTGTGTGAGAAAAAATGATAGAGTGTAAATAAACAGGAATCTACATAAGAGGTCTGATGCAGTTCACTAATTCACATTGATATTACAGAATACTCTATGTATAAGAAGAGTGAAAGGAAAAAGGAAAGTAAGAAACAAAAAAGCCCACTCTGACCAGGGACCAATAAAAATGAGGTAATGCTGCGTGGAAGGTAGAAAAGTCGTCAAGCATAACCTGACACTCAGCCTTTGATATAAAAGTCTTGACAAGTGGAGCTTTGAAAGTTGAAACAAGGTGTGGATAAAAATGAGACATAAAATCTCCATCCACTATACAAACTCCTTATTCTAATCTACAAACAAAACAGAACAGAAAGAAAGCAAAAGGAGCAAAATGAAAACAACAATAATAATTCAAACGCCAAGCCAGCCTGTACCATTAACTCCCAGGCCCAGCAAGTGAAAAAGAAAACGAGGGCCACCAGAATTTTCTGCAGGAGCGGTGGTTGCAATATAGCATTGAAAAGATCTATTTAGGTATCATGTAACATAGCTGGTGGCGGGAATCAGTATGAGAAGGAGAAAAGAGAGACGGAACGCAAAATTTGTGCTTCAAATCCGATCCGCTTCGAAAATAAAAATGATGCTCCAAAACCAAACGTCCATTAGCCATAGTGTTGAGTTTATTCTGTTATATTGTTCTTTGTACATCCTTAGTTTAACATTCTCTCAAGGTCAGACGGGACGGTGCCGGATGGCGAGATCGTGGCAGTATCCTTCCACGGCGGGGAGGTAGACGTCTCGATAAACGTGGGCCCGTTATTACGAGCCGCACCGGGTGATATAGAATGCATTGGTTGAGTGAGATCGTTTTCGCTAGGATTAACCGACTTCTTAGCAGTGACGGAGGGCTTACTCGACTTGGCAACGCGGAACTGTTGATCGATTTTCTTTGGTTGGGCTTTTGCGTTTGTCGTCCTGGCTTTCTTTGGAACTCCCTCTTTTTTCTGAGCTGGTTTCCTAGGCTTAGCAGCTTTTCGACCGGGATCCCCGGATAATATGGAGGATAGAGATTTATTAATTGGCTTTTCCGTAAGCGGGAAGGGAATTGGCGGTTGGTCTTTGATGTTGAATGCTTCGTCCTGACTGGATGAGGGTGTGAGGATACCAGTATTCGTTTGAAGTTTCTTTGGTGTAGGGATGATGACGGAGAACGGCCCTTGTTCCTGTTTAACTCGTTCCACGTCTGATTCCGTGCATTCTTGAATGGTATTATCGCTGTCATCGTCCCAGGGTTTCATGTTGGCTTGTCTCGCAACTTCATCGCAATCACCTTTGATGACAAGATCCCAACAGTTCTCGAAGCCTTTTCCGACAGGGACTGGTTCGTGATTTATCCACATAGTGATTCCATCTTTCCGTCCCCTGACAACATGGCACATTTCTTTGACAATTCGGCGAACCCCCTGGAACCTTTAAGGTGGTGCCAACTACTATCAGAGCATCGGGTCTGGCACGTAAATCAGCTGTAACAACTGAACCAATGGCCTCTTCGTCAGGATTATGTTCATTGTAGAGAACTATTCTCGGTCTAAGCTTGCCAACTCCATGACTACGCTGGCCAGTGGTTGTACGGAATTGGTCTGTTTCGCAGCATTTTTGGCATAAGGGTGGATTAGGTCCTTGGAAGAGTTCTGCTTCGAAGTCGGATGTATGCCTGCATTTCTGACAGACCATTTTTTCAAGTCCGCCATGTAGTTGAATGGTTCGCGGCCACGGTGCCTTGACACCAAGAGGTACTTCAGTTGCCAGAGGGGGCAACGACGTTTCAATGCCATCAACATTCTGTGTATACAGTCGCATTAAGCGGCCATCCTTTGCAAGTCTGGCAAGGAGGTGGTGGAAAGCTGTTGGTTGAGCAGAGGCCGCCATTCCAGATAACGAGCGAACCATGTCGTGGAAAGATGAAGTCATCGTATCGTCCTGATACACTGACGCGTCAAACAACTGCTTCCCTGAGGTTTTCAGTTTGTGATCCTTTTTCAACGTCTTAAATAGACCATGAGCAGAACGAAAGTCAGGGACTGTGGAATTATCACGTCAGCAAAGAGGCGCCATGTACTCAAAGCCTAGATGTACTCACTCCCAGCAGAAACTGAAATTCCAGCTCCAGCAATCACAACGATTTTGCGCTTCTTCTGAAGAGCCTTCAGCAAAAGGCCTAGCTCATCCGTTTGGCTTGCAAAGCAATCCGTGGGAGTTGTGGAAACCAAGGTTAAATCAAGATATTTTGTTGACCGCGGCTTCGGCTCAACTTTCCTCCTCTTTTTGGTTGGAGGTGTGGTGTCTTGCGACGCGGTAAAGGAGTCATTTGAATTGGGCTCAAAATTGTCTTGGGATGGTGGAGGAGATGGGAGGAAACCTGGAGGGGGCGATGGTGATGCTGGAGGAGAGCTAAGGTCTGAGGAATCTCCCCAGGGGTCGAAAGGGTAGCCCATTGGAGCCGGGACGTGACGTGACGACGTGTATGATATAGGGGAGAGAAGCGATAAAGAAACAGGCCCGTCAAATCGTACGGCTGGCTAAATCATGGGGTAAGCTACGCGATTTGGTGGGCGTTCAGTCGATAGGAATGGTGGCCACGACTGGTGTTGCTGTTGGACAGAAAAGATGGCAGACGTGGTGTTGGAGGTTAGCGAGGGGATGGATGGGGACAAGGACGAAGGAAGAAGGATCAGAGCCGCAGAAAGAACTCCGGATGCGCTAGTCCCGATTCTGCATTGGTCAGGGTTTATTTTGACCACAAACACCAAAATCAAAACAAAACAATTACAATTTCCTGACATCCGGCTGACTTGGGCGCCAGGGCTGCAGGTGGAGAGGCTTGCAGCACTGGGAGGAGAGGAATCTGTGTTGAGTGGACTGTATTTCTAAAAATGGGAAACTGGCGAAGGCCAGTCTCGATACCTTGTCTCCCTCAGAAATAGTCATTGTTCCGGTTCTTTGAACATTTCCCCGCATCCATCTGCCTCCGCTTTTTTATCCGTTGAAGCCTGTACTCTCAATAGTGGGCACTGAATTTGGGGGACAAGGGGTTGTTTGTTGTTGTTGTGATTTACAGCTTCCAACAAAGTTTTTAGAAACAGTGTTTTTGGAACTTGACTAGCTTTCGAAACTGAAATTCCTGAGATATGTTCACCGTGCCAAAGATGCCATTGGATTTTGTGACCCCTTGGGCTCAAGTTAAATGGATGTAGTGAGAGAATAGGGGACGAAAATTAGCAGTGTCCAATTTTAAAATCCAACGATCTTCTTGAAGAGTTGAGCATTCGTGTTAAATTTTGACAGTAAAGGTAACAAGGAATCATCCACCCTTTATGACAATTTGCTCGCCTAGCCTCCCAATATCCCAACATCGATTTCCTCCAGTGTGCATATTTCTGCCAGCAGAATGTTGCAGTCTCGCAGAGTACAAGTGGCATGACGCGCATATTTTGACGGGTGGACAGGACTTTCTAGCCGCATTGAATTAGTGTCTCCGCGGTTGTCCCAGCTACCACACAACACCCGTGGACGGAAAACTTGTTGGAGCTACTACACGAGCCCTATCCCACGTGACCCACACAATATATTACTCGCCAACTAGATAGATCATAACAATAAACCAAGGAAAAACCCTCTCACAAAACTTGTAGGAGGATAACGTTCGTTCATTATTACTAAACTAACTACGCGAGAGCAATACAATATGTTGGGGGGCACGTGATAGAGTAGCCGTAGTACCCCCTAACAAAACTCGATGTCACATGATCTATGCCAAGACTCAAGCGAGCTGGGTCCGCCGTAACATCATGGATGCGACGACTATATATGATCTATATGACCTGGCTGGTCTGTCATCGACAAGCCTATCTGTTTATATATAATTTCTGTTATTAAAGCTTAATCATTTGGAGGGATATCACGTTGTGATCCGAACTCCATGCATCGTGCTTGCAACGCGCAAGATTAGAGCTATCCGCTGCGTATTGTAGCTTCGCTAGAGGTGTAAGGGGTAAATCTTAGGATGCCTCTGATTATGGAAGACAGTATTGATGTTGACGATCTTTTCGGGGATCCAACTTCTTTAGAGCTGGGGCTGGGAGGTGCTGCCCCTACCATCAAAGGCTTACCCCAAAGGATAGACGAGCTTCGGCTTTCGGGCTGTTCTCAGTATGCTCTTCAAAGTCCCCCTTTCCCCTATTAAAAAAATGGTCGTTTGATTCAATTCCCCATGAAGTTGCATTGCTAACACTTAAGTAGAAAGGTGGCATGGTCAAAGCTTGGGGCAATTGCGTATGTCTCACCAGATGGCCAGAAAGTCCTGCTACGTTACCTTCACTGTAGCCCTATTGATGGCAAATGGACCTTGAGTGAAGAATCCCCCATTAACCAGATTGCTGATATCCATGGCGGCCATGCCATGGTCCATCTTCTCTGGAACGAAAGCGGTTCTGAGCTGGCCATCGTGGATAGCTGTGGTCGCATTTCGGTTGTCACCATAATGATGGCGCTGAATACTGTTAATCCGACGCGTCAGGCCTCGATGGATGCTGACGATGACTGGTCGCAGCCTGTTGGCTTGATGTGGTTAAACCTGAACCGGCCGGTGAATGATTTCTCTTTTCTTTTCTTAATTCTTTCAATTTTGACGTTGTGATTGTTGTTGACATAACTCAATCGCCAATATTTCTAGCTTTTTGGTTTTCACAAAGCGACACGGGCGAATGATAGGTGGAACTATCCGGCGTACCGACGACGTCCTTTGGGGCCGCTGCATCCTGCAAATAAGCCAGGCCTCGTTGTGGTGACTAAATCTGGTCATATCAAACTTATATATCAGAATCCTGACTCAAGGTGGGCGGAGATATCCACGGAATTGAAAGCGGTTGGATATCTTGATGGGCTACTGACACATGCTGCTCTGGCGCCGGCTGAGGGTAAGATAAACAACTCTCTCCAACGAAAAACTAAGTGTATATTTCTAAAGCCTGTACAAATCCTGAAACCGGACATTCTAGGAAATGGAATTTCTATTGCCGCCTACTCAACATATGGGAAATTATATTTTTACCGGATTCAGGTCAAATGGGATCCTCCGGAATGGGATCTAACCATGAAACCAGGAGGTGGCCCAGTTGCGTTTCCAACCCCCGCTTTCCAGATCCTGCATACCAAGACTGAAATCCTCAGTGCCATTTTTCACCCGCAAGCCCATGACGTGGATTATATCACGGGCTTCCCATCCCCGAATGGTTCAATATACAACCTTACCCATCTTGAGATAATCACCGCACCTCAAGCCGTTCCCGGCACACAGGCTGCTACGGGCCCCTGCATCATAGCTGTTGCATCCATTCCAGCCCAGAGTCAACTTGGTCAACCACCTCCCTCTGGACCCTCGAGTATCCTTGTTCGCTGGCAATTGGACACAATGGCCCAGTCCCTGCACCCAAATTTCGATAATGTGGTGTCGAAGAACACGGCCTCTAGCCCCAAGGTGAGATCCCAATCACGGACCGTTTGTGCCTAACGAACTTCTACTTGCCCTGACAATAGGGCCCTTCGTACTAATTATATCCAAACTGTTAGCCTAAAATAATCTTCAGAAAACTAGACGACATATATTTCGATAGATATGTTGTCTCGATCGACTACATGGAAGCTGGCAGCGTACTTGCCATTACACAAGATGATAGCTCCATATCATTTTTCGAGGCTAGATCCATGAGGCCGATTACTGAGAATGAAGACGATAACATTGTGACAAGCATGCCTAATGCCGGATTCACCTTTCCGATCGACGCGTCAGGTAGGTTTCAGCACGATTTCTTCACTACATCGAATGTCAGATATTTACCAGAGTTCATACTTATAATTCCGTCCAAGGTCTCCACATTGCATTTTCGCCAAGTGGGTGTCTGGCAGTGGTCCTCAGCGGGGAGGGCCAATTGCATTTGCGATGCATGGAGCACTCGTTTGGTATGGACGACGACATGTATGATAACGGTAAGCTGTTGGCTTCCGCGTGGATCTTGATAAATCATAATGAGAGACTGAAACTTGTCATTTTCAAGGCAAATTCACTTTCGCAATAGCTGCATTGGCATTAGGCTATGTTCGGGCGTGTGGGAGCGATGCCAGTGCGGATGATATCCTTACAGTCATTGTGCGGCAGCTCAACCCGGGTTAGTGTTTTGGATACCAAATTTTTCAAGCAGGCTGACGTTTGCTCCTTCTGTTAACTATTACTACTGTTCAGAGGCGCAGAAACTTTCGTCACCGAAGTATATTCGATCTTATTCATGAGCGTCGACTTTACCGAGCACGACAAGCTCGTAAACCACCAATCCATCCAAAAGGGACTTACCATGCAAGCCATGCTTGGCTTCAGATCCCGGTTCCAGCCACGAACTTCTTCCTCTGCTGTGTCATGGATCATATTAAACATTCGACAGATCATGGTGCTACTTTTGACATTTTCGCATTATCTCAAGAGTGGCAGGGATTTCACCCCTTCTGAGCCAGGTATGATAACTATTCCAATATATAAAAGCGAGGGAAATGAGAAAATAAATATTCTGACCGTCACGCATGCGCATCCACAGAAGCTCTCCATATGATTCTGGGGAACATCAAGTGGATCCTTGATCTTGCAAAATATTTGGTTAACGACCTTTTCGAAATTGAGGATACGATCCCTCCTGATCGAAATCTATTTTCTTTACCAAGTGAGTTTTAAATATATAGACCTATCTTCACCAGGTCCACCAGCTCTTTCCATCTTAACCCCGACACTAACATCATCCTAACCTTCAACAAGGCAAAACATACGAATCGCCCTCCCTCATCCTAGTTCTCTCCAGCGTCCCACGCTCTTTCCTCCGCCATATATTCCGCTACCTTAGCCGTTTCCCTTTAGCATTCAAAGCCGCCAGTAACCTGAGTGGCGAGTCCTACCAGCTCTTCGCCAGCATCAACAATACCATCGAGCAATCCTCCCTAAAACCCGATGTCTGTGAGAAAATGCTCACGCACATCGACAGCCTAGTCACCCGTTCCTACGAGGCTGCCGGGTTTGGAAACGCGGAACGAAACGCACCAGAGCGCGAGATGCTAATCACATGCAGCATCCCGCCGGTACTCCAGCCGGCTGTTATGTCGATTTTGACAGAGACAATGCCGTTGATAGTGCGATCGGAGGTGGACAGGATGGCATTGGCTTTGTATGACTACAGTTGGCTTGGGATAGGGGATGACAAGCGTACAGAGCTGTTTAAGCGGACACACGATGTGGATATTTTGAAGAAGAATGTGAATAAGTTGCCGGATCCGACGGTGGCGAAGAGGAGATGTGTACGCTGCTGTGAGGTTTCAGAGGATACCTGGTTGCCCCGGTCGGCTTCTATGTATAGATTGATTGGGAAGATTGGGGTTCTTAGGACGTGTGTTTGCGGCGGCACATTTGCGATGGAGAATGTGGAAGCTTTGGATCGGCTGCCTCTTCCGGTGTATAGGTAACATGCACACAAGGAGTTTAATCCTGTTTGGGATAATGTACTTTTTTGTTTGGAGAGGGTGTAGGGTATTTCTTCGGAAATTTATAATAGCGATGCGCGCGGAAAAAAGAGTAACATGTATATTGAAGAGGACGATTGCGTTCCTATTTAAAACCTACGTAATTTTAACACCGATGGAGGCACTCTTGGCCACTACATACATAAAGAGAAGTGGACAGAAATGTGTTGCTCGCGTGCTGAGTTTTAGGCAATAGACACATTCAAGGTTAACCAGTAAACCGTATAAGAATCTGGTTGGTATTCATGCCCCCACGTCCATTCACCAAAACACTGCCAAAAACGGCCAAAATATATGGACCCAAAACCCCGAGAAATGTGTGCGATATCAACGAACAGCTGACCCCAGTGGCCTAGCAGGGAAACCGGCCCCCGTTTGGGACCACTGGAGGGTCGGCTGTTCGATTCCTACCCAGCGCGCTTTGCGAGAGCAGGGTAGGTAAGAGGACGTAGCACTCCCGAGCCAATATGGGCTTGGGGGTGTGAACCTTTTTGAACCCTTGATCAAGTGGAAAGTAGGGTTGCGAAGACGCATATATGGCGAGAGACGTTTCAAGATCATTCTTGGAGATGAATTCATGGGAGGTAGTGGGAGTTGGAAATATTAAATTTGGTAACTGTGAACCTGTGCTATAGTGTCTGGAAGCGGAGGAGTAGTACGCAGCTTTTCCATTGCCTGAGTCGGCATAGGCTATAATGGGAGGAAGAAAGGTTCACGGGCGTTGAGTTTCGTGAGATCGTTGGGCGCTGTAGAAACAGGTTAAATAAATATGAGACGACGAAAAGATTTAGGATGATAAAAAGGCTTTTCATTAAATTTGTTTTGAACCATAAAGGGGGAAAAAAATTTCGTGAAATTGCTGCGCAACTCGATTTGCATCGTCTAGGATACATGTGTTCAATTTCTCAACCGATATGAGGAAGAAAAATATCAAGAGCAAAACAGCAAAACGACAACGCTCTCCAACCCCACCACATCCCATTATCATACCTATGCCTGTTAACCAAACCGGAAAACGTTAGCATACCAGAACCATGTGAATATCATGAATGACAAATCTCCCAACCAAAATTGACCATCACGGAGACATCATCCGTACCTTCACAGCATATTTCCGTTGGGGAAAATGCATCAGCTTCTTCTTTTCCTTCTCCGTTTTCAAGGCGGCTTCGTGCTTCGACAGCCGTCTCCGGATGGCGCGAGTCTGCTTTGGCCTGAGGTCAAGGGGAAGGTATTTCTTATTCTTGTAAAAAAGGCGCAGTTGCGAGCGCTGGTTGGCGTTTATGACGGTAAGGACCTTCGCGATCGATTTGCGCAAATCGTGACTGTACCAAAATCCCCCGTCGATCATATTGTCAGCCAATCCTGTTCCTTTATTCTTCCATGACCGTACTTCATTTTGCCCTGATGTCGCTTTTCCTATTTTCTCTCTCTTTATTCTATTTTTCCGTATTTCGCTTGCCCACTTCCAGCCCGACCATGTTTTCTTGCCTCTTCAAATTCACCAAAATCGGGGACCCATTTTTACATTTTTCAAGTGATCCGGAATAGAACGTACATTCTGGTGAGTTTGGAGGAAGCTCCCCCAGCAATTTTCTGCACACGGAGCTGACCAAGTTCAGTCTTCAGCTCATCTAGTTGCTTGGTGAGCTCGTCCTTGCTCTTGCCCCAGAGCTGGCCAGTCTTCACCTTGGCGGTCGACTAGAAAATTGTCAGCGAAGAGATCCCTCCCAATTAATCCTGATCGCGCTTGGAAGTCCAAACATACCATGATGGCGGGATGTCGTGTGGTGTCGGTCGGGGGAGGGGAGGGTTACTAGATGTCGTCGAAGTTGAAGATTCAAAATGTTGCTCCTTGGATGCTCTGTGTGGGACTAGGGCTGAGTGCGGAGCCGGAGAAATAGGCGAGGCCGATGTTATATCACGTGAGAGTATAGTGACCAGCCTTCCAAGGTTGGAAGCTGATCATCAGCTGCTACTTGCATCTTTAATGGGAATAATAGCAGGTCATAGCTATGGCCTTGCGATGAGCTGGAGAACTGACTTTGAGAATTGCTATTTGTTGATACCTGTAGTGCATCTATTTTATTTTTGACTCCTCCGCCGAACCAGATATTCGTCTGGGTTCACATATGGCGACCGCAACAGGTACAGGATGGGCTCAGTTGCGACAACAGGCTCGTTCCCTTGAGACTCAGGTAACAGCTAATTTTTAAATCTGCTTTATTGTCCAATATCGTACTGTAGGGTAGTGAGTGTATACTAACACAAGTTGTCGCAGTCAGAGACCTTATTCCACACCTATGCACAATATGCCTCCCTATCACAGCTGCCCATGACCCCTTCAGAAGACGAAGTGAAAGCCGAATCCCAAATACACGAAATCTTAGAACGGGTACGGGCGAAATGATCTTTATGATACCCTATCTCCGCGCTACTGAAAAAGAAGAAAAAGAAGAAGAAGCTAATCCTTTGCAGAGAGAAGCCATAATATCCCAACTCGCTCGTCTCCTCGATTCCGAATCAGCTCTTACCTCCTCCGCTCTGAAACAAAACAACCTCTCTCGCCACCGCGAGATCCTCCGTGACCACCGCCGTGAACTCAAACGCCTCAACTCCGCCATCGCTGAAACCCGCGACCGCGCCAACCTGCTCTCCAACGTCCGCTCAGATATCAACGCCTATCGCTCTTCCGCATCCTCGAACCAGGATAACAACAATGTGGAGGCAGAGTACATGCTAGAGGAACGAGGCCATCTCGAAAACAGTCATAATATGATGGATAGCGTTCTTAGCCAGGCATACGCTGTTAATGAGAATTTTGGCCTTCAGCGGGAGTCGCTGGCGAGGATCAATCGGCGGATTGTTGGGGCTGCGAGTCAGGTTCCTGGGATGAATTCGTTGATACATAAGATTGGGGCTAAAAGGAGGAGAGATGGGATCATCCTCGGTGTATTTATTGGCCTTTGTTTCTTGATGGTGTTCTTCTTCCGTTAATGAAGGTCGCCGCTCTTTTTTGCATGTCATTATATATATTCTGCGGGCTGGAGAGACATGGAGTTGGTCTTGTTCGTTTTTTCTTTTATGTGAGACACCAATATCTACAGGCATGTATTAATTGTTTACGGCATTTCAATTGTATTTTTTCATCCATTTTGAATATATTACATCATTCATTGTGTACGAAGGGGATATTAGAGTATGAGTGTTGTTATGCACATTTCTTTGGGATAACTCACTCAGCTGCGCCCATCTGCATTTCGCGACAGGGCATTGAGACCTTTCCATACCCTTCTCTCATCTATCAACTTCCGCAGTCCGTTATTCAAGGAGTCCAGCTCGCCCTCTTCCGCAATACTGCTCCCAGCCCACCGTATCCTACACTCATGATCCAGCAAATAAACATATCCGACTTTGCTATTCATCATCCCGATCTGCTCCCTCAGGCTATCCGTCAACGCCTTCTGCCGCACGAGGAAATACTTTTCATGCTGCTCCTTTGGCATGCTTTTTCTCATCCGCCACATAAACAAACGTATCAACCACGCCTTCAGCACATTATCTTCAAAGTTGATCTCGACCCGTTGTGCCTCCTTGGGTGCATCTTTTAGGACCCGGTGTAATGTTGGGTTTTTCAGCGGGCCTACAAATGAAGCGGCTTGACGCTCAGCCCAGAGGCTAGAGAATATACTCACAACCGATACCTTGCCGCGGAGGATCGGGGTTGTGTCTTGTATGGGTGCGGTAGGCGAGAGGGTGCGGCCGGATATGTTGGGGAAGTAGAAGGCCTTGTCGGCTTTGAAGAGGCGGTTGTTGGATATGAAGGTTTTGCCTTTGTGATAGCGCATGTTTGTCCATTCGCGGAAGTAGGGTTTGGCCGCTTGTCGGGCTCTATAGATAGGAGTTTCCAAGACATGGGAATGATTAGTTGCGTTTGTGACTTGTATAGCTACGCTTTTCTGTCTAATTTTCATTCAGCAGTACAAATTTCGCAAGGGGTCATTACAATTCTTTCCGTCGGACGATATGCTTCTCATAGTCCACAAAATCGTCCCGACGTTGTCGGAGAGTTCTGTTGTCTATACCAGTATTCTGCCCAGGTTGGGGGGGATAAGGAAGTCCTAGAGGGCGACTAAGCGGTTTCGGAGTGAATTCCCCTTTTGGGCCTTTTGCATCCGCTAATGGGTCTGACACATCCTTGTTATTGTTGTTGGTACTAGGAGAAGTCTTGACTCGCGGGGTCCCGGCGGGCTTGGAGAGAGTGGTGGGTGAGCTGGATGTTGATGCATCTCGACTCTGGAGCTGCAGTTGCGAGCTTGGAAATCGGCACAATAGGCAACGGGTACTGGTGGGGAAGAATGATGAATCCAGAGCCACTAAAAATAAGAGTGGCTTCGACATTGTTGAAAATAAACCTGAAACGAACAAGCGCAGGCACTGTTTCCTGAGCGCCTCCCAGTTTGAAATCGTAACATTCGGGAGAAATTTAGTGTACCAACGCAGTCGGGAGAGAGCCACGTGACCTGGTGCCTTGTTCGTGCTCCGTCACACAGATAATGTGTGTCTTTCCTTCCTGCCGAAACCACCACATAATTATGAAAAAATAGTTGTTCAATCGGGCAGCAAGCAATATGGTATTTCGCGCAGGGTCAACGCCATATTCCCACATCTAAAGGGTTGAGATCATACATGACACTACCGGGAAACAGCACCTGCCTTCTCTATGTTATATCGATATGGACAGGAAGAAAAACAAGTGCTGTAACGTCGGAAAATTAAGTGACAAGGAAGAGCTTTGCGACGCTCTCTATAACTTCAGCGGGCACAGCGACAGCTCTCAAGAGATTGATGAGTTAGCAGTGCTATTGAAGCAAGCAAGGAAGAGAAACTCCCCTGATCGAACACTCTCACGATCTCCTGGACGAGAAAGGAGCAACACCCTCCCAGATCACCATAGTCTTAAACGCCAAAAGGACACTGACGCACAGGATATTGTTAATACTATGGGATCCGACAAGTCCACATCTGCGAGGCCTGCATTTCCGAAAAGGAGATCAACAGCGGATGATGCTGCGGGAAAGCCCTCGATGTCCAGGAGAAGACGCGAGCCCACCCTCCGGGTTCGTCCGGAACATCAGCAAATATTCAGGGGGATGGTGTTTTGTCAGTCTTACCCTTGTCGTGTTGTTGACTGTGTCAAAGTATAAAGACCATTAAAAAGACCATCGGATGCTGACACATTTCTCACTTAGTTTTCATCCCTAACGACGACATCTCCCCTGCACGTCGCATGCGGATCAACAAAGCACTTGAATTTGGAGCATCCCGCTCACCCACCTGGAGTGATACTGTCACTCATGTGATAGCGGATAAGATGATATCGTTCACTGATGTGTTGAAGTATTTGAAACTAGATTCTTTTCCGGTACGTTTACAGTAGATGCACCTTCAAACATCCCTGTTCTAACTATATTTTCATAGCCTTCAGTCTCCCTGGTAAATGACTCTTACCCTTCTGAATGTATCAGCTGTGGGTCTCTTTTGAGTGCGTCTCATGTTCGCTTCCGTGTCCGTGGAGTTCCGGTTGATGATAGAGAAATCATCAAATCAGGGGAAATGCCTATAGTGCGCGATTCACCAAAAGTGAAACCTGTTCGGAGTGGGAATTATCTAGAAACCCCCACTCCATCCCGATCACCACCAATTGGCGAAGAGTTTCAAGGCTTGCCAGTGTCATCACTTTTTTCTGAGAGTCATCGTAAAGATGATTGCGATGGTGCAGTGGAGCAGTTTTCTCACACGGGACCTGACATTTTAGATGAGATGATTAAACAAACACGCGCAGAAAAGGAACTGGTAAGTGAAAATAGAACGCTCTTTTCTCACTGTCTATCTTAGCGATATGCTGAATTACAGCAGCCTTTGGATCAGTCAGACGAAGAGGATTTAGACACGGCTTCAAATATAGAAGAAGCACATTCAAACTCTGATTCGGAAACTGAGAAACGAAAGAAGGCCAGGAAAAAGAATCGATCTCATGAAATCCCGAAATGGCAAGAGACTTTTAGTTGTATGCACAAGCACGATGGACACACAGACGAGAACAATCCCAATGCTCAAACCATTGAGATTTTGCAGAAAATGTCGGATTATTACGACCGTGTTTCAGATGAATGGCGCGCACTGGCGTATCGAAAGGCCATCAGTATTCTGCGGAAGCAGAAAGAGAAGATAACCACGAAAGAGCAAGCGCTTGCAATGCCATTCATTGGTGAGCGACTTGCCGCCAAAATCGAAGAGATCGTCTGGACGAACAGACTTAGACGACTCGAAGAAGCGAGCACCGAGCCGCATGACGTCCTTCTTTCACAATTCCTCAATATTTACGGAGTGGGGTTTACTCAGGCTTCCAAATGGATTCAACAGGGTTACCAGTCGCTGGAAGATCTGAAGGCTAGGGCATGCCTGACTAAGAACCAGCGAATTGGTATTGAACATTATGATGACTTTCTGCAACGAATTCCGCGCGCAGAGGTGGAAGCACATGGAGCCATCGTAAAGGAGTTACTCTTTAAAGTAGATCCAGCAGTTAAAGTCATAATAGGAGGATCTTATAGACGTGGCGCAGCGAGCAGTGGTGATATAGATCTCATTATTACCAAGGACGGTGCTTCACAGGCGGATATTTGCGCTCTGATGACAGATGTAGTTATCCCGGCCTTGTTTCAGCAAAATTACCTGCAAGCTAGTCTTGCAGTGGGTAACCGAGGGGGGAGTTCGAAGTGGCATGGGGCATGTACACTACCGCGAAGCAAGAGCCCCGTCTGGCGCCGAATTGATTTTCTGTATGTGCCCGGGGATGAGATAGGCGCGGCGCTTATTTATTTCACGGGGAACGATGTGTTTAACCGGAGTCTGCGGTTGTTGGCAAGTAAGAAGGGTATGTGCTTGAATCAGCGGGGTTTGTTCGCTGGTATACTGCGAAGGGAGAACCGGATGAAGTTGAACCGTGGACATCTTCTTGAGAGTCGAGATGAGAAGAGGATCTTCGAGATACTGGGTGTGCCGTGGCGTCCACCCAACCACCGTATCTGCTAGTTAATTGAGCTATTTATATTGTATATTTAGTGGCAATGATAATGGTAATATTACCTCGTCCTCCCATATTTATCCCAAGTAAGCTTTTGTTGTGATTTCCAGTGACTTGGCTCACACACTGGAGAATATGTTTATCCGGGACAAGGCGGTCTGCAAAAAGACATCTGATTCCGCTCTCACAAAAAGTTTTGCCATGACTTTTGTCACTCTATCAGTTTATCAGTCAGTCGCAGGCTCACAGAAAGATATATTTCAAAGAGCATTGGGGAAACAATTGCTCCTGAGAATTTTTGTGGTTCATTTTCGCTGATGGAAAGCCTTTCTGCAGCTTGTTGTTTGCCTCTCAATCTTTTCCTGTCACACCCCCATATTGCAATCTTCCCTGGAAATTGAATATCCACACCTACGAGTAGTGAAGCAACAACCCTGTCTCTTCTTCCAATACTCCATTACCGTTGATCAAATAAAGACATATTGTCCCACGTAGAAACAAGCCACGGCGAGCCTCGGAGCATCATATCATACAACAAGAAGATGGGGCGCAAGCCAAACGGAATCGTTTCCGAATTCTTCCATCGCGGTGCCAAACTCGCGGACTCGAGCAACCGTTACGAACACACCTGCAAGTCCTGCGGACAAGATTTCCCCAAAGGCCGCACTGACAGCCTTCTCAGTCATTTGGTGAAGACTTGCCAGGCCATTTCTGTTGCGGATAAACAGCGTGTGCTACATCTCTGGCGAGCGGGACCTGAACGCGGAGGACGAGGGAGTAGCGGGAAGAAGCTGCATGTAAATGGAGATGGACGCATTGGACGTGGGAAGCCTGGGAGCTTGCCATATGTAGGGAGGCAGACGGTTTTCAACGGGATTGGTGGTGGTCTTAATGGACTTAATGTTCTTGCGGAAGCATCGAGACAGGTCGGCGCCTCGGATGGGAAGCATCCCAATAACAATAACGAAGAGGGGGGAAATCCTTTAGGAGAGAAGCCGATTGTAGTAGATCCGGCACTGGAAACCTCCAGCGCAGGGAAACAGCGAAATATCGGTATGTAGTCCCGAGTTCCGTCAAGAATTGTGCTGTATTGCCTCTGGTTGTTCAGTTGCTCACGTTAATTGTGTTTCTCGCTATCTAGAGGCTGACCTTCGCGCCGCACTTGCGACGTCCTCTCCGCCGCCTAACCCCTACGACACCCATTCGGCAGAATCATCGACCGCCATGGCGTTCCTTAATAACAGTTTCTCCCTTGCTGGCGAGCATACTCCTGACCCCGGACAGTCCTCACAACTCTCGTTGATTGCCGCATCTGCGAATGAGATGGTCCCGCAGGATGGAGGCCTGTCTCTAGATAATGATGTATGGGCTCTTACCCCGTTGCTATATCCTCTATTGGATTAAATACAGAAATGCTGCTTTCAGTCTGTCTACAAAAACAGCTAACATACTATAGGTGGACTTCAACTCTGATACTCATCATGCCGCCTTTTACCCTCGACCTATTGCCATACATGCGAGCCCACAGGACTCCTCTGGGTTCATCAATAATTTTGGCGAAACTAGCAAGCCAATGAAACATAAACTTAGAGCGCAGTTCTCAGAAGAGCGTCGAAAGGAAGTCCAATTGGTCAGGAAAATGGGCGCTTGTTTACGATGTCGGATGCTGAAGAAAACTGTGAGTATCTACCCACACTTTTGTCTCCCTTGCTGCCACAAATGTTTTGGGGGTATTGTCTGCTGATGCCCAGCTATAGTGCTCTTCGGAAGATCCATGTAGACAATGTCGGGCAATTCAACATCCTCGAGTATGGATGGAATGCTGCATTAGAGATCGGCTACCAACTCAATTAACGGCTTACTCCGCAGGTAAAGACTTCCCTCCACGACAGATAAGCCCAAGAAGCAATGTTAATTTCAAGTGCAATGAACAGGCCTTCACACGACATTGGCTTATCACGACATTACCAAAGTCAAAAGCCAGCTTTCCTTTGACCTTGGGATGGGGAGAATTGAGATATTTCACTTTGATAGCCAACCCCCCAAATTCATCACCTTCAGTGCCCTACACCACCAGGTAGAGCCTATTCAACACGTAGATCCTGATCTTCCTGGGGTCACGGCCGACGAAAGGCCAAGAGTTCAAGCGCGGCAAGACATCCGTATTTTAGAAGGAGATATCGACGAGCTATCTACGAAAGTGGAGGCTTATATGAAAACAATGGCTGTTCAGTATTTCGAATCGGAGCCGTCTACTTTTATCAGAGAATCCGTTACTTTGTCTTGGGAGCTATACCAGAACACAGCTGTAAGCAACCCAATTATTCCAAATCTTCGCCCAAATTTACGAGACGAAATGTTTGTGCAAAATACTAAGCAATACTATTCTAAAACAGGACCAATTACTAGCCGGGGTGTTAGACCTTTGGATTGCAACTCGAATCCTTGTGGATACGGAACAACTAAAATGGAAAATATTCCTTAACCCAACTCTCCCACCATCTTCCACCCAACCAATATCTTCAACTTCCACAGAACTCTGCGTCGCCATCGACGAAACAAATTACCCAAACTCGTATGCTCTAATCTGTGCCCAAATGCGTGCCGCCACAGAGAGATTTGCAGGACGAATTAGCAAGGTTGTTCTCACTAAAATCGAGCAGCGGCTACTTCAAAAACAACGCAGTGGGCACTTCCGCACGTTTCTAGGTGCCGTTGTATTGATGAATTGTGTTGAGCGGATGGCGTGGCTGTTCAGAAAATGGGAGAGTAATGAGCAGGATAGGCAGCAGGTATGGTACCTTTTTTGCCCCTTTAATATACATGTTATAATTTTAACATATTTCATACAGTGGCCACTCGAAAGTGGACCCGCCATATACGCAGACCAAAACAATCGATTTGCCGATATTGTCACCACCCATCTCCGCATGCGCTCTCTAGCCCCGGACTGCACCTTAGATCCTGAAACGGGAAGCCTAAAGGCTGGTTACAGCAGCGATCCAGACGTCACCAAATGGTTCAATGCGATCAGTATTTCGCGTAAGCATCCTATATCCATATCCAATGACCTTATTACCCTAGCTTCTCTATCAAAAGTCATATTGAACATCATTTAAAATGTGGTGTTTCTCGTGAACTAATCATCTCGTTTCTGTCTAAATAGCTGAATTCTTCCAAGAACGGCAAAGGGAAGAATTCGATGCCTCAAATCCACGCTCTTTTGACTTGCTGTACTGTACACAGCTGTTCCGACCGGCCAGCGCTTGAAGGTTGCCGGAAAATATTGCGAGATAAACTTTCCTTCTTTTTCGTTTTTCCCTCTATTTCCTGCCTTTTTGTATCCCAATTCCCCGTGTTTACTCTAACACTGTTTACAAGCGTTCTGTACATTGACTCTGGAGGTCCTGTGTTTACGAGCTTTATGCTGCGTTTTGTACTTCCGTTTTCTTTATCACCTCTCTCGCTTTCTCGTCTCTTTCTACCTTTGCTCTGTGTTTATGATCACGCTATTAAATTTTTGATGCTTTCTATACTCGGGCAACTCCTCCCCCGCCGGGAAAGGCAATAATGGCCAAACCCCAAAAGGGTCAAAAACAGAACCGGGATATTCGTTAATGATATATCAAATCTTATAGGAAGAAGGGGTTAATTATATGATTTATTCTTCTCTCTTTTGGCAAAGTTTTTGCATTGCATATCTGGCGTTTTCACCTATTTCTAGCTATATACATCCTTTTGTTTTCATGTGTGTTCTTGCTTTAACTTGTCGATTTTCTTTTTTTTTTTTTTTTTAACATTATCTTGTGCCTCGGGCTCAGGGTTATCAATGTTTTCCTTTCATCCATTTCTTGATCCCTCTCCTGGCTCTAGTTTACAGGTTATTATGTATTGTCTTTGTTGGCTCTGTCTAGTATTGCAGCCAGTGTTTCTTCACTTTGTTCCCCACCTCCTTTTCTTTCCTGTGGGCGGCTATGTGCTATGTTCTGTACGTGCGAATGGAAAGGTTGATTGTGATATTATTTTCCCTTGTTCATGGGGTGGGGTGGTTGGCTTGTAAATGCTAAGGATTTGGGAGGTATATTCAGAGAACGGATGGTTATTATCATTGCTCATTTTTCCTCTTTGCCTAATTTGTTTTCTGCCTTTTCCTTATTATTTCTTTTGCTTCTTTCGTTCTTTTTGAACCAGTTATTTCTGGCGGATAAATTCTTGTAAAGTATGTGTATGGAGTACTATCAGCAACAAATCTATTAGCTTTCTTTGTATCTTGTTCCCTTCTCGTTTCAGTCGTTATTTCCTTCGGCAAAAGGTGTTACGGCTACGTTCAGTACACGGAGTATCCAAGGGAGATTTCGGCGTTAGTTAAACAATGCCAATCCTGCTACAACTTTTACCAAAGTTAGGCCAGGTGGCCGAGTGGTTATGGCGTCAGGTTTAGGTTCGCTTAAAATCCCTGATTTCGAGAGATTCCCGCGTTCGAATCGCGGCCTGGTCATCTTTTCCTTTTTTTCCCCTCTTCCTCTTTCTTCCCTTTAAGGTTTTCTTTTGTTGGAGAGAAAATATATTATTTGCAGCCATTTTTAAATTTTACTGTCCTCCTCCATCTACGGAGGTACTTTGATGATAATCTGTACAAGTTTCTTTGCGCAACCTCAATCAAGCCTGGCCCGGGATCAACTTGAAAATGTATACTGCAGTAGTAGTTTGTATATCATCAACACCAGGAAAAGTAGAAAAGGAGTTGAGATAACACACTCGATAAATGGTCATATACCTCATAAGATAAATAACAATGGTGAGAGCTGAGGGCGGGTTTGGAGGAAACAGGCGTCTACGATCTAAATCTACTAGTACATCCTACGACACGAGGAATGATAATTGGTGTAGTAGAGGTGTAATAAAATGAAGGACGAAGGAAAAACGAGAGAAGAAGGGAATGGTGTAACTGGCAGGGTTCGAGGTGTTAATAAAGAGCAGAGGGGGGGGTTCGTTAATATCATAGGATCCATAAGGGATTGCTGATGTCGAAGAAAAGAGGAGAATTTGAGGGGTGAATATTAACAACGTCCGGGAAAAGAAACAAGTGAACCCTGATGTGCTGAACACCTGGCGAGAAGAGGGAACAAAAACGAGTATATTACAAAGGCCAGGAAAAGGAAATCAACGCTGACTGTATAAGAATAGCAGACATAATACGAGGTATCTCACACAAGTTAAAAAAAAGCCGAAGAGAAACACAAAACCACAAAAACAAGGGGGGATATCCAGAATGGTAATGAAAATTACTTAAGATCGAAGAAAATGAAAGAAGCCAAAGAGCAAGGGGGAATAAAAAATTATACAGAAAACTACACTCTTTTTTCCCTTTCAATCAAGAGGAGAAAAACATGAGAACCAAAGGGTCAATCTATTAACAATTCATCAATTAAACATCTAATTGTCCGTCCAACACCCTCCTTGCGGCGTCCAGCCTCCTCCGGAAAAGAACGGAAGACCTCTCGTCCGCGCTCGACCGTTTATCGCTGTTATTAGACGACAACTGCAGTTGTAGCGCTACTTTGCCCAGGCTCTGGAGAAGCCCTTCCATCACTTTAGTGTCATCCTGGCTGAGCCGCGCGTCGAATATTACTTGGTCGACTTCCGACTCTGACGTATACAATTGTGTCGCGGCGGACGATATAAGAGAGGATATCATGACTGTTGGGGAGCGTAAGTGTGCAGCAGCTTCGCGAAGTGAGGTAGAAGCGTTGTTGGAGTGATGGCGGCTGTGGCCTCGGTGATGGCTGCCGAATTTCTTGTTATTATTGCTGGTGTTTTTAATTGATGCGCGCGGCGTAGAGACAGTGGAGAGAGGAGTGGGTGAGACGGAACCGTTAGCGTAGATGACGGTTTGGAGAGTCTGTTGTCGGCTGGTGGTTTGGGAGTCTTGATATTGTTGGCGGAATTGAAGGTCTTTTTGATAGAAGCATTTGTTAGTAAATGAAATGTGTGTTTCATTAGTTCGGTTCAAAAAATAGAAAGGAAGAGGGAGTGTAGAATATACCGGAGTGGGAATACTTCATCCCTTTCCCGTTCATGCTCCCGTACAACGCTTTCTCAATTTCGTCGGCGCTATCCTCGTTGTCGTCGCCGTATTCCGCCCCTTCTGTAGCTGTCTCAAAGGAAGCTGTCGTGGATATTGTATCAGCGCTATTATTTCGCACATGGCGCTTCCTGCCTCGTGGTGACGTGTCTAAGTAAACAGTTGCCTGACTCCCTGGCCTTGTAGTCTCCACGGATCCGGCGGAGCTATAACTTTGACGGCGCTGGTAGGCCTTATCTCTTGAGTAATTTCCCAATGCACTGTGTAGGAAAAAGTTTTCATAGTCAAATGCGTCTTCTCGATCCTCGTGTCGCGTAGTCTCTGATACAGTAGGCACAGGCGGAAAGTCTTCATATATATCCTCATCAGATGACACTGGGCTGTCAAGTGGTTCACTTAGGATTTTAGCGAGGGCGGCTCGGTCAATATCATCCGAATCGTCATCGTCAAATTCTTCATCCGCATCCTCATAAAGGCTGGCTACTATCGATTTCTGGTCGGCTGGGCGATCCCTATCCGAGATTTGCTGTGTCGGCTCCTCTACCACCTCCGGGGCAGGAGACGGACCAGTGTTGAGGGGAGCCAGATGTGGCTGGGCTGTACCTCCGCCTATATTTTTCTCATTACTTTGCTCGTTCCAGAAGGTATCCGCACCATTACCACGCGCGCCAACAAATTCGCCAGCAGTTGTGTACCACTGCTCCGCCGCCGTGAACGGGCTGGGAGTGCGAAGACTTTGGAGACTTCGTCGGCGTACGTTATCTTCCTGTGCCTGAACTTTGAGGGTCGAGATCTTGCTTTTAAGATCCTGCATCTGGTCTTGAAGGCCGCGGACTTGGAGCTGTGACTGGGAACGAGATGGTATGCTAGCTGGATACGTGGCATTAAATTCCTCCACCGATGAGATTTTTGGAACGCCGTTCGCACGATTAGGAGGTGTATTTTCAAGGTTACCATTCCGTTGTGCGAGCAGTGAGTCCGGTTTTGAATGTGGAGAGTCTGATTGTGAAACGTTGTTACTAATAGGCTCAGATGGATCTTCAGGAATATAGTTGAATGTAGACACTAGCGATTTGTATGTCGTTTTAGCCTCGGATCGATCATGGCGGGAGATGTCACTTGCTCCAAAACCCGATGCGTTCGTTGACCCAAGTGCGCTGAAAGAGCGGAATGGAGGTCGCATATTTTCTCTATTGGCCACACCACTTTGTGCTGACTGGACTGATACATCGCTCAAGCCCCTGGAATGTGAACTATTCGCACTCAAATCTTGAGAAACCCTTTGGCGCATCAGTGCTCCAGCGAGGCTAGTTTGAGCCCGCCTCTCGAGGATAGAATATGATCTGCCCATGTTACCCGTAGATTGACGGTGGTTGAGGGGAGATGTACCCATCAAGAGAGAAGGTGATGGACTCATGCGAAAAGAAGTACGGGCTCGACTGAGATTACCTTCCATGTGCTGGATAAAAATCGTAACCTGTCAGTGTTTTGGGCTTCGCCTCCTTTGTGCAAGATCAATCCAATTGCAAGGAAAATTCTAGGGGTGGAGGGGAATACAAACCGTCAGTCTCTTCTTTGCGTTTTCAAGAATCCGTTCCGCTTCCTTGCTCAACATAGCAGAGGAAATTTCATCATCCATCTCCACGTCGATTTCTCCATCGACTCCCCCCTCTTCTCTGATAGCCCTCATATCCCTCGTTTCCCTCAAAGATTCGACATCCGCAAAATCCTGTGATAAACGGTCGCTCTCTTGGCTGTAACATTGGTTGAGCTCCTTTGTCGCATTCTCTAGATGTGTCCCGTTATGGGAATCCCCATTCTGATGATCTGTTCGAAACTCTTCCCATTTGTCTAGAATCTCACTTGGAGCACTGACCGTCGAACTGGATGCACTGCAGCTTGCAGAATCCTCCTCCGCGGCACTGCCATGATCGTGATCGCCATATCCAACGTCTTGCCCTAGGGTCCCATCGGTTTTATTGTGCCATTGAGTTTTCAAAACCAGCGCACTCTCCAAAGTCATCTCGTTTCCCTGTGCCTCTTCGTCATCTCCATCCCATCTGGAACGCGTAGGTGATTCCTCCTCTCCAATATCCGACAACGGCGGGCGAACCTCATGCCCTGAAAACACCCAATTGTTGCGCGGAGGAGCGTTCCGCTGTTGATAATTGTTGGGCGCGCTGTTCGATGCAGAGACCGCTACACCGATTCCCGCAGAGGAAATATGCAACCTATTCTCTGCCTGTAAGACGCTGCGACGGTAACCAGAGTGCTCTGGCGATGGGAGTTGTAAGGGTCGAAAAGGGGGCGAAGGGGTGGAGCATTCGCGCTCGATGTCGTAAGGGAGAATCATATCAGGGTTTGTCAGGGTAGGAGAGGGGAAGGAAGAGGTATTATTAGAATTATTATTAGCAGTGGGTGATATAGGGTGGTGGCGGTGGTGGTTCTGCTGCTCCTCCTGCGTTTGCTGGTTATTCTGAGCACCGACTGCTGGTGGAGAACTCCGTTGGCTCTCAAAGGAGGTGAATGCAGCCAAGGTCGAGCGAGACATGGTAGACATGGTTATTGACTAGTTTGACGACGCGGATAAGGGGCACAAGGATTGGGGGCATGCAGCAACCCGGTCGAGGATGTACAATTTCCTTTGTTCGGGCCAATCTTGAAGAAATCAATCCTGGTAAAGTCGGGCACTACAGGCCCTGCACTTTGTTTGCCTGCCCCCACCTGCTGCCGGTGCGCGTCACTACAGGACTCACCAGCTATTTTACGTAGTGGTACGTCCGAGAATTCATCAGATGCATGCGCAGAGGGAAGGAGAGTCGTAGTAATTGTGGGTGGATCCGACTTAGGCTAGCTTTCAACTCAGAATAGTATAGGCGACGGAGTTAGGGGGTGAATAGCGAGGAGAAGGATGTCGCATGGGTCAATTGGTATCAAAGCACAAAGCAATGCATTACATCGCGGCGGAGACGAAGCAAGGGCTGGAGACTAAAATACTGGAGCATGAAGTTGAGGACGTTGTTCGAAGGAGGTTTGACCGGAGCGTGGATGTTAGTATGAGGTTGGCCAAAAATGGACTGGGGGTGATTAAAGTTGAGCCTCAGAGATGATCAACAGAAGCAATATCCGCATAGTTAACTATATATTTTGATATGGCATAAGCATGAAGACATAGCTTGTAGTTAACTAGCTAGAAAACATAGATAACTAACTAGATGGAGGACACAGATCTAGAAATTCAAACCTTATCTCGATTCCATTCCGACCTATATTTTACACTTTGTTTTAGCCTTTGTGGGAATATGTTTATTGTAGAGTACTAGTAGCCCCTGAGTCCAAAGAAGCCAAATCCAATCAGAGCGTCATGAAATGGCTAATACCTATGCCTGTAAAGGAATAAACCAACCCAACTGTTGTTTCATTGTCGGGATAATGCCCGTTAGCATACCCAACACCCCTTCCGACCAGACGCTTGCTGCATATAACAGAAGGCCCAGTTCAGAGAAATCACTTCGGATAACTTTCCGTCTTACATGTTATAAATAATTCTCCCAACGCGGGGAAGGATATGTAACGAGTAACCTAGATGGTCTCGGGCTGGGACTGACACACGTGGGTACGATGTGCAACTCGCGAAAATTATAACCTTCAAGTTCTACCGAAGAGAGAGAAAAATAAGTTCCGCGCTTGAGTGCTTAAATAGATCGATCGACCATGCCTGCTCAGATCAGACCGGATGGAAATTTGTGTGTGGAACTTCGTAAACTGACAATTGTCATCCAGACCTGAGGAACAATTCCCGTCTAATTTGTTTTAAAAAAAAAAAAAGAAAAAAAAAATAAGTATTTAAAACGGAAACTAAAACAAAAAATCTCAGAAAAGTTACCCAACCCTTTCCAATAACAACTTTGCCGCACTGCTAACGACTCCCCTCTTCTCCCCCTTATTCGCCGGCTCCTTCGCTGAAAGCTCAGCCAACATCTCCTTGTGCTTCGTCAAGGTTTTCACCAACTCCCCTCTCTTCCCAAAATCCTCCGCCTCGACAAGAGCCAGTATCACAAACGGATTCGGCCCAGTGACCCACGCCATCACATTTGCCGCAATTTGCTCATAGAGCAGACCGTGAAAATTTAACGGCGGCTGCACTTTTTCTACGCATTTGGTCTTGCTCTTAAACCGACCACCCTGGACGAGTCGTCTCTCTCTTAGCGATCCGCCCCGCAGATGCGCTCTT